ATATATATATATATATATATATATATATATATATATATATATATATATATGTTGATCTTGGGTTTTGTACTGATACAATGTTGATACAATGTTTTATTTATGATTACAAATGACATTTTATGGGTTACAAAAGTGAAAAATTGTTCAAATTTTTGCGTTGTTACATGTTAATAGAAGAATAAAACTATTATTTTACTAGTTTGTAACCCGTGGGAACTGTGATTACAAAATTTATTAAAATTTCATTGGAATAATTCAAAATTGTTAATCAATTATTTTAAATGAATTATTAATTAAGTGATATTTTTATTAGTTATGTAAAATTATATTCGTTGATTCAAATAAATATGTGAAATTAATTTTTAATTTATATCGGATAACTTTTATTTGTAAATTAATGTAAACAATAATATAAAATTTAAAATGAAAAATGCAAAATAAATAGACTAACAAGTAACATCACATTAATTAAGAGGTCTAATAAATTTGAAATGAAGAATTAATTGATTCACAAGTGGCATCATATTAATTAGGATATCTAATATGGTGACACATGGCAAAACTATATATATATATATATATATATATATATATATATATATATATATATATATATATATATATATTAGTTTATAACCCGTGAGAACTACGGTTATAAAAATAATTAAACTTTTATAATTAAAAAATCAAAATTATTAATCAATTATTTTAAATAAATTACTATGAGATATTTTTATTAGTTATGTAAAATTATAACTGTTGATTCAAATAAATATATAAATAGAATTTTTAATATGTATTAGACTTTTTTTTGTGAATTAATGAAAACGATAATATAAAATTTAAAATTTAATTTAAAATAGAGAATAAATACATTGAAAATAACATCACATTAATGAGGGTTGTAATAAATTTAAAACGGAGAACTAATAGTTTGACAAGTAGCAACATATTAATTAAGAGGTTTAATGTAGTGACACATGGCAAAAGAACTACTGTTTTATTAATATATATATATATATATATATATATATATATATAGAGAGAGAGAGAGAGAGAAAGAGAGATAGAGAGAGAGGTGGATTTATTACACAACCATATAAAATTATATATATATATATATATATATATTCAAGGTAGTAAAAAACTTTCGAGGTTATCTACTTGATAGGCTCGGGTTAAGGGATTAATCAGCTAAGCGGGTATTAATCAGAAGATTAAGCTTAATCAGAGGACTTAAATTGTTAATTCATTGAAGTTTCACAAATTAAATATGACTAATATCATAACATAGTTCCTAAAACCACTAATGTCATAACAAAATAAGTTAATTAATATGATTAATAAAACACAAGTCAATCATCAAATAGTTCTGTTGAGATGAAACTTTTTTAAAGTATTAAAATTCATTATTTGCTAGTACTTCACATATTTTTGTAGGCAGAAACTAATTACTAGGTGTTTTTTAGTCATTCGGCTATCGCATAGCGACTATTCGGTGATTAATCGAAAGCTGTTGCATCATGGAAGCAAATTGTCGAGGAGATGGTTGTTGAGGGAAAGGTGAGAGCACCGCAAAATGTTGTCGTAACGGAACATACAGGACAATAGAAGAGGGTTGTTGCAGCGGAGATGTAGCATCATGACAAGGTGAAGAATTAGGATTAAAAGCCGGAGGGTGAGAGAGTGATGTTGTCCTTGATATCACATCATAAATATGAAAAGGATCATCATAAATCTTGTCCCGCTACTGAATTGCCCACTTCACTCTCTTCGAAATCAACAAAACCATTATCATTAACAAACTGTTCCAATTCCTCCTCTTTTCCATCCAGTTTTGAGTCATCCACAATGAAGTCTGGAGTCCAACGCGTTACCTCCTTGGCCTGAACTTTGAAAAAATAACCACGGACAATAACCTTGAAAGATCTAAGATCAAAGATTGTTCCGAAGAAGAGATACATAAACGCTTGCTATAAAAATTGTTATCCTTAGGGTTCTCCATAAAAACAACCTTACCCCATTTACTAGCAATTTTCAAAAACATTTTATTCATACAATCCAACGGAGGGACCCCTTCAATATCCACCTAGACCACCCTATCTTTCACCGCAAAGTCATCACTCTATGCATGCAAGTTAGAAAACCAAGACTTTGCCCCTACGTGATGGAGAAATCTATCCTTGACATCAGTAGAAGGAAACTCCAAAGACACCCAAGTACCTCCCAAGTATCCAAATTGAATCCCATCAAAGCCCTTATTATTGCAAATTACTCGTAAGTTTGTAAGAGAACGAAACTCTTTCACCGAACCAATAAGAGAGCAATCCCTTTTTATCAAACAATCATCATCAAGAAGCAATGACGGCTTGTCTTCAACCGACTCATTTACTAGGAAATTCATCTTTCCTTCGCTTAAGAACATAAGCATAACATGAAGTATGGAGCTTAGAAGGGTGAACCACATAGATCTTCATGCCACCCAAGTCAACATGATTACTACCCACCCAAGTCAACATGATTACTACCTGATTGCCCCATTTGAAAATGTGCACCATTAGCAACAAGTTTAAGTTTCCCGATCCAAATTGTGCACAGGTTAGATACCAAAGATTCAATGTTCGTTGATTTAGGGCGCGTTTGTTTCGTATCATTCCAATGGAATTAAAGGGAATCGGAAACTAAATTCCGGTAGAAAATGCGTTTGGCTAACAAAATAAGAAGAATTAGATTTCCATAATAATGATTCAATTCCATATTTGAAAGATTTATAATTCTTTCACAGTTAAACAAGAATCTACATTCAATTCATTATCTTTGTTTTAAATTACACAACTATCCTCCAATTGTCCATACGTGAAATAAGAAAAAAAATCATTTACGTGATTTTCATATCACTTCTACGATTACATTCTCTTCTCAGTTATATATATTTACAACCGGTATTTTCCAAACAATTCCATCTATTTATCATTGTTGTTGTGCTACCGTATCTCCTCTGGTTCGTCATTCCTGTATCATCTTCATTCACAAGTAAGACCTCAAATCCTGCTAATTTCTGCAATCAATTGTGTTTTATTTTTGTTTTTATACATTTTCTTTTGTTTTTTCATCTTTTTGTGATAAACAGTTACATAATATAGTCACATTTGTGTTACTGTACTTCATCTCTACTTTATCTCTGGTTGTATTTCATCTTGCTTTTTTTTTGGATAAAATATCAATATTCTCTTTACATGTATACGTATAAATTTTCTGGTTTGGATTTCCTACCGGAGATGTGCAATCAATCGTTCTATAATTATGCATACCAAGTGTTTGTGTTTTTGCCTCTGTGGTATTTTCTTTATTTGCCAACGTAATTTTTTTTCTTTTCTTTTTATGTTCACTCATTTTACCACTAGTGTTTGTTTTAATTGAGAAGATAAGATTAAATCTCATAAATTACTAAAAACCATAATTGATAACTAATAATGACAAAACGAAGTTAATATATTGTAATTTTTTACTTTCATGTACATTTGTGCTTGATAAATTTGCTTTTCAAAACATCATTTAATTCGTTTTTATACTAATAGATTGTACTAACTCATTGAAATTACATTTGTTTCTTTATATTATTATATATAAACATCTTATTTAGTTAAACAATGTTTTTATAATTTGTATGTGCTCAACAAAATACATGATATTCTAATCTATACTTTGTAGATGAGTTTAATAAAAAAAAACATTGTAATTAAATAAAAATTCGTCATGTTTATTAAAACATGTAATAAGTTACAAAAAAACCATTAAAGGGTATTTATGTCATATTACAAAATTTATTTTTTAATTCCTTTGTAAACTTAGCAAACCAAACAGAAAACATATTACATTCCATGCCAACCAAACGCGATTCAGCTTCTAGTAAATTCAGTTTCCAATTCCGTCAGATTCCAATTCATTCGATCGATTCCATTCCTTTCAAAAAAATTCTGTGAAACAAACGTGCCATTAGAGAAACAAACAAAGGCAAAGTATTTTCAATGTTTCGATAGGCGCTTGGCAATAAAAACATCTATAACTGTCCCATAAAGCTATCCCATAATTTTCACACACTTTCCATAATTCACGACGAGTAAAATAGTTAGGGAAATTAGTCACATAGATATTATGCCCTAGTTTCGAAGTCAAATCCTCATTCGACTTAGTTTTACGAGAGCCGGCCCTAGCTCTGGTGGAAACAAAAAGCGACTTACCTAAAGAGAGACATCACCCTGCCGAAGAAGAATGGTATGTCGATTAAAAGAAAAAGCGCCGCTGTGCAATAAAAAAAGGCTTAGATGAAAAACATTAGACATTAAAATAAAACCTAGAGAAAATCACACGCTAAAGCTATTGATTATGATTGTAGGCTCTCACTAAATCATTGTCAATGAATTTGTCTTAAATGTATTTCTTTATATTCGTAAAAGCCCGATGGGTTGAAAAACAATTAAATTCAACTAAAGTTGGTGATCTTTTTTGTAAAAATAATCAAATCAAGTTTCTTATTGGCAAAGAATTGTTAGACTTTCTAAACGAGTATCATTCCCATTAATTATACTCCAGGAGGTACTATTAAAACCTTTTTGTTACAATAGTAAATTATCCACGAGGACATACCAAACGCATATTACTGAATGTTCAATTGTTCATTAAAAATTTGTTGTCAACTGTTTGGTGAGGCTCCTATTTTATTTCAGGACTTGTAATCCGATCGTCATAAATTCATCTCATAATAATGAGAATATAAGCAAAGAAAGAATAATATAAATAAACACATATACAATATGTCTCCAAAAAATTCTAGTTATCTGCTTCACATTAATCTAAAATAATTGAAATCTTCATACAATACTTTTTAATACTTGTGATGGTGGGTAGGAGAATTTAAAATCTTTATTTAATACATAAACGGCCGAATGTTCTCTTTAAATTCCAAGGCATCTAAAGTCAATTGTTCATAATACCATTCATTATCACCAAATTCTCTTTTCATTCTCCAATCATGAGGTGCAAGCCATTAGAGAAGACAAAGTTGAAGCATAAGAAAGGTTTATGGTCTCCTGATGAGGATCAAAAGCTAAGAGATTACATAATGAACTATGGCCATGGTTGTTGGAGTGCCGTACCCATCAATGCTGGTAATTTTCTATGAATGTACCAAAATACAGAACGTACTTTTGTTTATCAATTTGTTACAGCATCATATATACTTCCATTTCATTATATTACAACATTGCACTTTCAACTTTTTCTAATTGTAGCATATGCCTTTCATTTTTTTTAATTATTAAGGGATTGTACCTTTGAAAAATCTATTTAGTCATAGCATTGAAACATTTTGTATATGAATGACCTTGATTCAATCGGATAGAGTTTTCAAAGTAGAATGTTGTAAGTCTTTAATAGGAAATAAATAGAAGGATGCTATAATATAGAAATAAATGAAAATATGATTCTATTTCTTGTATTTTAAGGATACTAGAACCGATGAATTAATAGTTTATACCAACACATTCCAGGTCTGGAAAGGAACGGGAAGAGTTGTAGATTAAGGTGGATTAATTATCTACGACCAGGTTTAAAGAGAGGCGCATTTTCAATGCATGAAGAAGAAACTATCCTCACCCTTCATGGCCTTTTAGGCAACAAGTAAGCAACCGTTATAACTAACTTTCTCTCATTGTAAATAATTTTTTGGTAAAATAAAAAGTTATTTACTTCCTTAAATATTATGAATTTAGTGAGAAAGACTGACACTATTATTTATTTAATCAGGTGGTCTCTAATGTCGCAACATTTACCTGGTCGGACTGATAACGAGATCAAGAATCACTGGCATTCCTATTTAAAAAAACGGGTAGCAAAATCGGAAAGTCTTGAAGCTCAGCATACAAACACAGGAAATAATGAATCATCATCATCCTATATGAATTCAATGTCAACAAACCTAAGCTTTGATTCATCAGATACTGCAAATCGTTCGTATGTTGACATGGATCAACAGATCCCACAAACTCAGATCAATAAATTACCAAAGATTTTATTTGCAGACTGGCTTAGCCTAGAAGAGTTTCATGGACATAATGGTTTGCCATTCAATAGTGGGGATAGCAACGGCTCAAATTACCAATATACCCCTGTGAATGAACTGATATCAAATGATGGTTCCACAGACAGCACTGAGACTGCTAGCCATGAGAGCAATTATCAAAATGAAGATATGTTTCAAAATAACCAAATGAAAATTGATCAAATTTTCAACTTCAATGGTGGAGATATTAATATTGAAGACTTCCTGTATATGTAAGAACTACTGAAGTGGTAAGAGTGAGTAACAAGTAGTTCACTAAAGTGATTATATTGTCATAACGATGTGACATCATAGGTTAATTAAATAATAATATTGTATATGTTTATGCATATAACTCTTGGTGTATATATGCAAATCGATGGAGTTTTCGGGTGGCACGAAATAAACACCCTTTTTTACTAAAAAAATACTCATAGTCAAAAGTCAACTTTTTAAACAATGTGTTTTGCATCATTGGTGCTAAAAACCTATTTTTAAAGGTTTTTATGACATCTCTCTCTTTTCTCTCTCTCTCTCTCTCTCTCTCTCTCTCTCTATATATATATATATATATATATATATATATATATATATATATATATAAAAGGTTAAGTTCAAATGAGAACACTATTTAATGTGAGAACGTGAGAACACTACTTTATGTTAATATTCTACTATGAATTTAATATGTATAGTATTGTAGTAATTATAATATAAATATATTCAATTTTATATTGCTATTCTACTATAAAATTTATATATATGTGTAGTAATTTAGTAAATTCTAATGTGAATGTTAAATATGTGATTGTTCATATATTCGGTGATGAATAATGTTATAAAGTTGTACATATAAAATTTTAATGTGAATATTAACGTGTGATTGTTCGTATATTTGTTGATGAATAATGTCATATCGTTGTATATATAAAATTCATAGTAGAATAGTAACATAAAGTAGTGTTCTCACGTTCTCACATTAAATAGTGTTCTCATTTGAGCTTAACTCTATATATATATATATATATATATATATATATATATATATATATATATATATATATATATATATATATAGAGAGAGAGAGAGAGAGAGAGGTTATAATGTGGATCACATCTATTGTATGATCGTAATGATAATTCTGGATCAATGGATGAATAAAATAAATAATCATGATTTGAGGGTATATGATATTAAAATCAGATAAGATGTATCATATAATCATTCAAATTTCAACATAAGAGTATTTTGGTCAATTAAACTACATTTAAAAAATGAAAATTTTGAATTTCAAGGGATAAGTAATTCTTTTACTTTAAAAAATCTGAATTTTTTAAATTAATTTAATTTTAATTCCAATGTAATTTTTTATATCAACGGATTTTGTTCCGTCGGAATGACAAAATATCGGTCATAAACTAGTAATGATATTTTAGATTCACTAATTATATTAGTTCTTAAAGAATAAGACTATAAACAATAACTACATTTATTTTGGAAAAAAAAAATATTACTAATAATTGTTAAAAATTACATTATTCTTAATGGTTAAAACTAAGAATGGTTAAAAGAGAACAAAGAAAATCACAATCTAACAAAAACAATAATAATTCATTCTAAAAAAAAGAAAAAAAAATATTGCTATGAGTCTAGAATTCTTTTGTAAAAAAAATATATTCATTCTTGAAAGAATCTTCATTCTCCTTCTTCGTTCGTTCGTAGGTACACTTACATTCTATCAGAATGACATTCTCTAATAATTTTCCAAATAATCAACTTGATTATAACCATTCTTATGAAAATAACATTAGGTGAGAATAATACTATTCTATTGGAATGATAGGAAGTTTTCTTGGACCTTCAAAAACAAAAAGCATTTCAAATTAGTGTCTTAATAAGATAAATAAAATATAAGTGAAATTTGCTTCTGTATCATACAAAATCATACAAAGAGGCAAGAATTAAAATCTTTTATATACTAACTTTTAACGTATGATGACAAAGTATAAAAAGTAACCATAGGATTAAAAGCTTTTATATATTAATTCCATGTGTCGTACTTCAATCGTAAAATTTTCTAAATTATCATAATTGTTATAATGATGATATTAATTATCTAACTTGACTTATATATTGGTAATTATATAACAGTAGCTTTAGAAACTTAGAAGGCCAAGTCGCAATTGAAGAATCTATATGATTATTTGTTTCAAATATTTAAGAACCTATAACATTACATATTCCAAATTGTGTTTATATAAGTATTTCATGAACTCATAACATTGACATGGTACACACACATTAACGAAATGCATGCAAATAACTGAGTTAGAATATCGATCATGGCTACTATCTCACAGTGTTGTTACAAGAGTTGGAATTAAAAATTACATGTGTTTCTTCAATGGGAGAGTCGACCCAAATCTTGTTTGATATCGAAAAAACCGAGTCTTGGAATGCTGATCGATCGATGGTTGTTGATTTTGCATTGAGGGCAATCATTGAACGATGAGTAAATATCGAAGTTTCATTTTGTAATCACAATGATTTGATGAGCATAATGGTGGCATAGGGTTTTGGAGATGATAGAAAACGTGTGAAGATATAAATGGTGATTGAATTATTTATCCAAGATTATAGGCATCAAATTTGGAATGTCATTTAATCCATATGTAATATTACTAAGATACCCTTATTATATTAACTAATAATTAAATGGTTTATTAAGATCTTATTGGTTTCTACAACAACACAATAGATTTCCATCCATATATATATATATATATATATATATATATATATATATATATATATATATATATATATATATATATATATATATATATATATATATATATATTTCAAGGTAGTAAAAAACTTTCGACGTTATCTACTCGATAGACTCAGGTTAAGTGATTAATCAGTTAAGTGGGTATTAATCAGAAGATTAAGCTTAAGCAGAGGTCTTAAATTGTTATTTTATTGAAGTTTCACAAATTAAATATGACTAATATCATAATATAGTTCGTAAATACCACTAATATCATAACAAAATAAGTTAATTAATATGGTTAATAAAACACAAGTCAATCATCAAATAGTTTCTATTGAGATGAAATTTTTTTAAAGTATTAAAATTTCATTATTTGCTAGTACTTCGCATATTTTTCTAGGCAGCAACTAATCGCTAGGTGTTTTCTAGTCGGTCGGCAATCGCATACCGACTATTCGTAGATCAATCGGAACCTAGTTGGAATTTTTACAATACTAGTATATATATATATATATATATATATATATATACTAGCCGTTTACCGGCGCCAAGCGCCGGGTGCGAATAGTTTTTTCAGAAATTACTTTGTAGAGGCGGCGATTAGTTCTTTTGCACAAATAGTTTACTACGTCTAAACAATTATCAATAAGAGTGATGCTGGCATAAACGAAATCCGTAAGAACTAAAAATTAAAAAGTTGGGACTCTTTATTGATGCAGACAAACACATGATTGATTGTGCACTATTAATCGTGCAACAATTCTTTATACACAACATTTGATGTATAGACTTCACTGCCGTTGAATTGTTTGTTAAGCTTCACTAAAACTTTTTTATTGGAACGTGATATCCCTCTAGATAATGTCGCATAAAGTTGGCCATGCGAGAAAACCGATTCTGGTAGATAAATACCTACATTTGGAATTGTTTGTCCCTGAGCTTTGTTGATTGTCATTGCGAAACATAATCGAATTGAAAATTGTTTTCTCTTCAGCTTGAACGGGAACATGTCATCTTCAGACAGAGTTAGAGGAATATTTGGCAAAAATAACCTCTTCCCAACATGTTGTCCAGCTGCTATTTCGGCATCAATGAAATTGTGCTGAAAACTTTTCCATATCAATCGACTGTCGTTACACAATCCATTTGATGGATTGAGATTTCGTAACAGTATTACTGGGCATCCAACTTTCAGTCTTAGGTAATGTGGGGGCAAACCACTAACAGTGAGAGTGTTTAAGAATTCCACAGGATAGAAGTTATTTATATCGTTTATAGCTTCATCAAAGCTATAGTAAATTATCTCTTCTCCATGGAATCGGCCAATCAAATAATCATTAAACTCATCGATAGTTTACTATATCTAAACAGTTATTAATATGAGTCATACTAATATAAACGAAATCAATAAGAATTAAAAATCAAAAGTTAAGAATGGAATCTTGAATTCCAGTTGGGTCGGAATGCAAATATCAAACAAGCCATGGAATGGAATCTTGAATTCCAGTTCTTTTGGAATCCATGATACTTGTCTTTTCTTCCTTTGTTGTGAAAGTGCAGCCTTGCAGTCTGTTAATTCGCTTATGATACTGGAAGAAATTCCAGGGCGAAATTTCTTACCATCAGGACCAAACTCATCATCCTCAGTAGCAGCTATTAAAACAAAAAGTTAAAAGAAATATAAGTCACAAAAGAACATCAAGAAAGATTACAGACCTCTCAAATGAAAAACAGACAACAAGAACCTCTTTTCCCATTGCTTATAGCATAATCATTTAATGAGACTGCTGTTGTTGCTGGCATTGGTGCTTGTCTTAGTAAACTTGACAACATTGTCCTTGCTTCATCAAGTTCTTTCTTTAATCTTGCAATCACCCGCCAAGATGAATCATGCTGACATTACATAAATAATATAAACATGAGCTTGGAAAATGAACAATTTGAAGAATGGAAGATAAAACAAGGTTTGAAATTGTGAACAAGTAAGTTGTTTGTGGTACCTGGTATAAACAATGACTAAGCTCTTGCCTTTGTTGCTCTGATGCAAAAGTAGATAACACCAAAGCATCCCATTCCTTAAGTAAAAGGAGTAGAAAACATATGAGAGTTAAGTTTATAACCTTAATTTAGATGATTAAGAACAAGATTGCCCAAACTAACAGACCACAACAAAGTTGTGAATAGTCTGAAGGCATAAGAAAACTAACATCATAATCCAGAAATAATCAAATTTTCCCTCTTTGGAAAACCAAAGAGCAAGAACTTATTGGCAACTGATTCAACCATTTATGGGAAACTGCTGCCATTGGACTTGGATTTCTGATTTTAGTTGCCATTCCATTAGACTTTGTTCAATTAGGTAACTTGATTCAAGTTAGCCTATTTAGTCTTTAACACCTACATCAATTTGTCTGAATTCAATTTCTCCAAAACCCATGTTCAACACCACATACCATAAATGTTAATAAGAATTACCTTATCATGGTACCATGGTTTAGGTAGTTCCCGCTTAGTTGTTTCAAATGACAATTCAATATAACCTACACCTTGTTAAAGAATCATTAAAAAGAAATGAAAAAAAGCCCAA